ATTTTATTCTGAGGTTCACATTAGATGCTCTATTGTTCTCATAAACGCAACTTAACTTAGTGCTCCTCCAAATATTTTGTTCTCTCTTAAAAATGATTAATCCAGTTGCACAAATTTCCACATCAACAGTTTTTTGCTCATTTTGTTCATTCATTGGCTTTGAATTTAAATATTAATCTCAACTTGTTCTTCCCTACATCAAGCTAATTAATTTGACATGATGGTGTTTGTTCCACACCTCATGTTATCTTGGATGACACTAGACTCGGTTTTTAAACTCACCAGGAGTTTTAATGTTGTGACCCACTCTGGCGGACCAGCCTATCGGGTGCAGGAGGGGACTCCACATGTGGCACCAGAAATCAGAGACGGTGTTCTCCGGAGCGTCACTTTGGTCAGCGTACACCAGCCGCAGGCGGCCTCCGACGATGGACTCGATGAGGGCCACGCGGGTCCGGCTCACGTGTTTGGGGTCCACGACCTCCACCCGCATGCCAATTCTGAAAGAGGTCTTCATGTGTTCTGCCAGCTGGGAAGAGGACAGAGAGTTGCAAAGTGACAGAGATGCTGATGATGTGTTTAATTAATTCTTTCATCTAATTTGATTCCTTACACCTCTCCACTGGACAGATGGGGTTCTGATCGCAACATCAGGCTGCATTAAGTTTACCTTCAGGTAGAAGTCGACAGTGAGAGTGTGGGCCCCCACCAGCTTTTTCATCAGATACTCTTTCCAGTCTGGGATGTTCGTATTCACATCTGAAGACACACAATTTTGTCAAATTAGAAAATATCAGATCTCAGTCAATCACTACATATTTACATGCCATAATAATCCTGATAATACGCTACTGTGCTCCGAGTTTAGTGCTGAGCCCACCAGCACAGTAAGAACTCACATTTTCTGTCCAATTATCACTTTGTGAGCCACTGAACACTTTTCTTCCACCTACATGAGTGTGATCATGGTCATGCAGCTCTGTGTTTGCACGGCTTCGTGCTTCAGGTTTGAATCCTCACCTTGCGGCGGCACCAGCAGCTTGCTTGTCATGGCGCACCACCCGATTGGGTTCAGCTCTCCTGAAACGAGGCTGCACCAGAAGTCATGGCTGCTATCGTGCTCGAAGCCTTCGTATCTTAGCAGAGCTTTGTATCCTGGAGAAGAAGAGCGGTGTTACTGCTTTGTCAAAATGTTGAGAAAATTTGGGAGTGTTAGTTAAGGTCAGATATTGGAAGCCGAATTCATGAATTGCTGAGATATGTACATTTTGATGTTGGTTACTTAAAAACTTCAATAAGGTTTTTGTTCATTTAACACTTTCATATCTCTAGATAACTGGTGCACTGTAGCCTATTTAGTCTTGTTCTGGCTGATTTTATCATCATAACTACAGAGTTAATGATTTGTCTGTGGTAAAATAAACACTGACAGAAAGATGTACACACCTGCAACCTGGATGACCGTGGCGATCCAGTACACTTTACTGGGAAGAACTGCGTTTGAGTTCAGGACCTCCACTTTCATCCCGACACTGATGTCGTCCCAGTTGGCACACAGAGGAGCCTGCAGAGGAGGTCAGAGGTTTCCTGACAGATTAATGTGAAGTTCATTATGTGCTCCACTTAAACCATTTTTAGGACTTTCAAGAGTTACTCTGAGCAACATGTACAGCTCATTTCTAACTGTATGAGGTGTGTCAGAAAAGTTCCAGGACTGGCGTCACAAAAGATAGATTTTAAACCCAAACTACAAACTACAAGTTTTCCCCTTTCAGGGGAAGCACGTCTACAAAGAGATCCTGCGGCGTTTGCTTCGTTCACTGTGCGAGAAGAGGCCAGAGTTGTGGCAGGACAAGTGGTGGCTGCTTCACCATGACAACACGCCTACCCACAATGCCCTGAGCATCCGACAGTTCCTGGCTGAGAAGAACATCGCCGAGCTGGAGCAACCTCCCTACTCACCCCACCTGGCTCCGTGGGATTTTTTTCTCTTCCCCAAGCTTAAGGGGTCATCAAGGGGATCTGTTTTGAAGGAGCGGACGACATCAAGATGGCTGTGACGACGGAGCTGTGGAGGATCCCGGAAGAATCCTTCCAGGAGTGCATGGCGACGTGGCAGAGAAGGCTGGGAAAGTGTGTTAGACTCCAGGAGGATTACTTGGAAGGAGAAAACTTGTAGTTTGTAGTTTGAAATATATCTTTTGTGACACCAATCCTAGAACTTTTCTGACACACTTCATAATTTTTTTATTATTATTTTATTTATTTGTCTCATTGTTAATTCGTACACTTTTTAATTTTTTTTTTTTTAGCATTGTTACATTTTGTATCTATCTCATATAGCCATATATTCTTTTAATGTTATTTAATTGTAAGCTTCTCTGCATTTATTGTTTGAGCCTCAGCACCACTAAAAAACGATGGTTGTCCCGCAATGTGCTCTCAGAGGTTTTAAATAAAATGAAATAACTACAGTATTTTGCTGTCTCTTCTCTTGACAACAGCAACATAAAACAGCATGTAAAACCAGAGTATTTTTAAATTTTACATCTTACTTACTTCAGTTTTTCCTAAATATGAACATAATGAGACAGTTTCGTTAAAGGTCTCATATTGTAAAAATACTTTTTGTGTTTTTATATAAACTCAGAGGTGTAAAATAAAAGCTTTCAAAATATGAAATCGCCCACTCCTGCCACTCCTCACACAATCTTTAACTGCTAACAAATGTGCCTCACCTCACACTCATGAGCAGGAACGAAGATTTCATGACAAAATAATTGCTGTTTAAAAGGCTGTGTAAGTATAAACTCGACAAACTGCTCATTTTTGTCTATAAACAAAATAGTGTTCATTTATAGAACTCACGTGTCTGAAGCAGGAGACAGACGCAGCCAGAGATGTTTCCTTCTCTAAATAGGAGCCCCAGTCGAAGCCAAAAGATGCTGCAAAATAAAAAGATCAGAGGAAAGTAAAAACTTGTACCATGTCTGCATGTGCACCGTATGCAGCTTCTAAAAAGACATACAGCAAATACAAGTCAAGCTTGCCTTGTTGAATAAAACAAAGTGAGGACCTGATGTTTACAGACAATAAATCATTTTCTGCAGTTTTATGTAGATTTCCTTTCTAGGGAAAATAATGTATATACAAGTGTGTATTAAGTGCCTTTACCATCGACTGCTGGTGCGACTGGAGGGGTTCTGTTCATCTTGCTCAGCACGGTAGATTTTTTTGAGGGGGCCTTTCCCTGCAGAAACAAAAAGAAAAATAATAATTTCCTTTCCATAGTGGTGACACAAAGTGCAAGAAAGGAGAGTAAATGAGACACATCCCGGTAAGTGGCAGCTTATCAAAATGTCAAAATGGCTTTAACAGTCGTCAAAAATCAAACATTTCTGGTCTGCTTTCCTTGCCGGTCAAACCATCCCTCTAAAAAATTTCACATGGCAAGAAAAATCCATCGAGGTCTGGACTCCACAGGCCTCTGAAGGGCTCCTGTGGTATCAATCATCAAGATGAACAGATCCTTCAAGTCCTGGAAGTTGTGAGTTGAGGCCTGAATGGATTGGTCTTGGTTTTGTGATACATCCCACAGATGCTCGATCAGATTGAGATTTGGGGAATTGGAAGGCAATTAAGTACCTTGAACTCTTTGTCATCTTCTTCAAACCATTCCTGGTCAATGTTTGCAGTGTTAGAGGGAGCTGAAAGAGTCCACAGCCATGAGGGAATAATGTTGTCATGAAGGATTGTACAAGGTCTGCAACAATGTTCATGTAGATGAAGTGTGTCTAAGTAGCATTCACATGAATACCAGGACCCACAGCAGAACATTGCCCAGACCATCACACAGCCTGTGTTGGCTTGCCTTTTTTCCCCACAGTGCATCCTGCTGCCACATCTTCTTGAGGTAAACAACACACGTGTCAAACACAATATCAAAGTTGGTGTAGTTCATCAAACCAGGCCAACTTCTTCCATTGCTCCATGGTCCAGTGCTGTCAGTGGTTGACAGGGGTCACTCTGGCTGGTCTACAGTCACAGATTCATGCAAAGCAAACTGTGTTCTGACACTGTTCCATCATAGCAACATTAAGGATTTCAGCAGTTTGAGCCACAGCAGCTCTTCTGTTGGACTGGACCACAAAGGTCAGCCTTCATCCATGGCTCTGTTGCTGGTTCACTGGTTGTCCTTCTTTGCTCCACTTTTGGTAGAAACTGACCACTGCGTACCAGGAACAACCGACAACACTTGCAGCTCTGTAGACTCTCTGACCCAGTCATCCACCCATCACTATTTGATCCTTGTCAGTATCACTCAGATCCCTACACGGCTCACTTTTCCTGCTTTCAACTCATCAGCCTAATACATGGTATCCTTTGACTGGTGTCACTGTAATGAAATATTCAGTGTTGTCCTCACCTCGCAGTGATTTTACTGTTGTGGCTGATCACAATAAGTGCAGGGCTACTTAAAATTACAATCACAAAACTATTGTTTTCTTATCAATTAATCTGCCAGCAACATCAGAGTTAATGGTCTAAAAATAGCATTCTAGTTTTTCAAGAGCTCAGATTCTGGTTTTCATATTGGTTCTTCTGTCAGTCCTCGGAAACTTATAGATGATGGCAGGTTCAGTTTATAGTTTTTTTTTTTTTTTTTTTTTTTTAGCTATTTCTACAATAAATATGACATTTAAATACAAATATAAATGTTCACATTATTATGCATATTTTGACTAATTTATGACACTAGTATAATAATAAAAAGTATTATTATGCTGCCTTGATGTCATATTGATTCTATTCTTCAGGTTTTTTTACATTCAGCCCCATTTTTTAAAAAAAATTTTAATAAATGTATTTTACATGTCTCGAGGTTAGGTGCTGATGTTTCAGTACATCCTACATCCTCTGCCTCCTCTCTGTCCTGACTCACCGATGCTCTCAGGTAAACGTCGGCCTCAGACAGGTGGGCGTGTCTGAACCGGTCCGGGACCGCGGTGGTCCTGAGGGTCCGGTGCCGGCGGCTCGGCTGAAGCGGAGGGTCGCTGTGATAGTCATCGGGCTGGAAGTGCTTCTGGCAGACGAACAGCTTGCTGAGGAGCCGGAGGGGCGTGTTTACATCCATGTCCAGGCTGAGGAGCCACTGCCTCAACCTCTCCGGGTCTCCCAGCGGGAACCGATGGAAGGACAGGTTGGGCCGCTTGATGCTGTAGCAGCTGTCGACGCAGCACTTGAGAACCATCTGAGCTGCTTTTATTTCACAGACGATAAACACGGAGCGACACGAGGCGAAGACGACAGCCGGAAGCTGCTCGGGTCGCAGCTGAGACATTTAAGTCCAGCGCGGTCCCCCTGCTCTTCTTCTACGGCTGATTTTCTGCAGCGGCTGCAGGTAAACAGCTGCGCGCACACAGCGCCACCGTGTGTTCGCTTTTATAGCACATGAATATTAGTGGTGGAAAGTAATTGAGTACATTGACTCAGACAAGTACAAATTGGACGTACAGTCGTCTTCAAATTTGATCATACCCTCCCATTGAAGAAGAAGAAAAAAAAACAACTGTCACTGAAAAAAGTTGAAATTGACAAAAGTAATAATAATAAAAAAAAAAATGAAAATCATGACATTGATTTTTGCATTGTGGTTCAACAGAAGTATTAAAAATCAAACAAAAAACAAAAACAAGCAAACAAGCATGATGGGACCCGTAAACTAATATTTTGTTGAACAACCCTTTGAGCCAATCACTGCAATCAAGTGTTTTCTGTAACACTCAATCTGTTGACAGCTATTTTGATTTTGGCCCACTGCTCATCAGCAAAGTGCTCTAATTGGTCCAGGACAGGTTTTTTTTTCTTTTTAGTTATTCTTTTCAACCACAATTCAAAAGCAATGTCTTATTTCACTAAGTTATAACTTAGCAAATTTGTATTTATTATTACTTTTTTCAGTTTCTAATTATTTGGGTGACTGTTGTGAATTTTGCCTTTTCTTCAATGGAAGGACATGAATACATTTGAGGACAACTGTACTTGTATTTTGAGTATTTTTCTCAGGACACTTAACAACCTGTTTATATGGTGCAATAAATTTGTCTGTGGTATGATATGTTTTATTTCTGTCGTGGTGGTACAATACTGGTTTTTAGTATTGATTTATTAATTTTAATTTTTTTTACTTTCATTTTATTTTCTATCCATTTTTCTATACTGCACTTTTCTACTTCGCTATATACACCAGCTTTAGTTACTTTTAATCTGAAAATTATACGCAGAATATACTATTACATACTGGTAAAATACAACACAACGTTAAAGATTAAACCAGCAGTACCAGTGTGGAGTCAGCGTCACATTTCACAAGTCTATGAGTCGGTAACAGCTCCACCAATTACTGATTTTTCCCTTAAAACCTCTTGCTTGGTTTTGCATCACTAAAGGTTCAAACAATCCAATATCTTGCCCATTAATCTTCTTATTCTTCCTAACAGCAGCAGGCCTCTTCAACAGGGCCAGAGACCTCCAGTGGCACCGCCTCTCACCCACCACCCTCTACCACTGACACTGACACTGACTCTGTGATCAATGATTAATAATAATCCTATTGAAAAAGCTGTGCATTAACATAATGCAATAACACAAAGCTTATTAAATAGGATTATTATAATGCTCTGTTCATTTCAAGTTGGGTACATCACATACTATGCACTCTTGCACATTGATGGGAGAAAACACCACATCAAATTCCTTGCATGCAAAAAACTTTTTGGTAATAAAACTGACTCTGATTCCGAATAATCATGTGAAGAGCCCTCAGATTTGTCTGCTGTCTCTGTATAATAATGTAGTTCACACCAGCTCCAACAGTGACATGCTGTTGACACACTGAGGCTCCACTACTAATAATCTAAAGATGTCATTTAGAATAATTTATCAGTCACAGGGGTCAAATCAGTACTTTATTACATTAACTACATTTTGCTGCTAAATCTTATGTAGTTTAAATTAAGAGGGATTGTTCATGCAGAGCTTTTACTAGTAATGTAGCATTTTTACATTGCTGCACTGGTATTTCACTTCACTTTACTAGTTGTGAAACTGCATCTCAATCTGCAGACATCTTCTCAGATTTGTGAAGGTGTGCCTGATTTTGTCCGATTGGAGAATGTGTGAGGAAATACGCAAATGTGTATTCAGAAGTAAAAGTGTACGAAGATGTATAAATGTTTATACAGACTTGTAAGTGGGATTAAGATTACGAAGAAACATAGAAAGAAACGTAATCAATCTTTTATTATTACTGAAGCCTTTATGAGATGGAAAAAAACAAATAATTCCTTATTTCTATATCAGGTGCACCTCTGTGTTGGCTACACTACTGCTGTGTCTGAGCTCTGCAAATGTGTGTGGTGATCTGTCTCAGTCTCAGGGTTTCTTTGCCCCGAGCCAAGGCTAGTGACTCCATCAATGTCGTGCGAGCAGCAGCGAAGGTGGAGAGGACAGAAATAGTTATATGAAAAATGTACCTTTCTGTATAATGAATTATTTAAATTTGAGATTTTAAGAATGGGCGACACCGGGGAGCAGTGGTTAGCACTGCTGCCTCACAGCACGAAGGTGCCCAAAATGTTCTGTGTGGAGTTTGCATGTTCTCCCTGTGCCTGCGTCAGCTCTCTCTGGGTGTGACGGTCCCCCCCCACAGTCCAAATACATACATAGCAGACTAACTGGTGATTTTAAATTGATCAAAGGTGTCAGTTTGAATGCCTGTGTCTCTGTGTCAGTCTTGTGATGGACTGGTGACCTGTCCAGTGTGTATTTCACCTCTCACCCAATGTCAACTAAGATAGATGAGACAGATTTTCAGAGTAGGTACTAACTGTGGACAACTAAGTTGTCACCTAGAACTAGACGGAATGGATTAAGCCTCATACACAGAGATTATTTTAGGGGAAAACTTCTTGCCACTTAATGAGTATGAGCACCAAAGCTTAAAACTCCCCAAAAGCTCGTCCTATTACTTAATTAAGCAAAGCAATTAAGTAAAACTGCCCCACTGCTGCTACCCATAGTTTAAACAGCAGAGTCTTTTCAAACAAACAAATAAGATCATCTTCTTCTCACCTGCAGACGAGCCAGTATGGAGGACCTCTTGGAGTTTGATGAATAGGAGCGTGAGCAGGAGATGCTGCAGAAACGTTTTGTCTTTGAAAAGAAGGAGCTAACTGTGCCGGTGGTCCCACACATCTCACACATCACTGTAAATATACATAAAGCAATCAAAAATAGTTGTTGTCTCACTGTTTGAAACATCATCAGTGTTAGTTCATAGCCTATACAGAACACTGAGATTTTAATGTTAAGTGTCATTGCTGCTTTTGACTCATGTGATTCTTGTCTGTGGTAAAACAGCACTCAAATGAACCGACAGAAAAAACACATTTTGCTCTTTCTTAACCTGCAACTCACCCGGCCGATCATCTTCGTGTTTTTCCCCCAGCTTCAACCCTAATCCTGCCAGACGTTCTTCATTACCCCCTCCATCAGTTTTATCAGACCGTATTTGAGTCATTTCATTGCGTTCTCCCTTTGAAGATGAAACAGCATTGTAGTTAGACAGCGTGAAAGAGATTTTACATCACACCTGTAAACAATAGCAGGAGCAGTGCCTTTCTCTCACGGCAGTAAAACTAAGTACTCACACTAGTGCTGCGCTCTCTTGGTTCAGCTGTAATACTCCGGCGTTGGATGGCAGGCAGGCATCTGCTACAGCCTGCTCCACTGCAGGCGGAACAATGTGGACGGACAAAGACTGTCGGAGCAGCTCCTGGTCTCAGCTTCAGAGCCCCTGTAGGTGTTCTGGACTCAAAGTACTCCTTCCCAAAATGCTCACTGCAAAGGTGGGAACTGGGTGAGGCGACCCAGTGGCTGCGGGTGCGCTGGACCTGTTTCTCCCATTTGCGAAACTCCTCAGGGTCCTTGGGGAATTTAAATAGTGTTACACCATCTTCGGCAGTTTTGCCGCATCCATAGGCCACACAGTGGTAAGGCATCGTGTGTTGTGCTCACAACTGGACTGTCAAGTCTTCAACGCTTAAAGCATGACCCACTTTCAAAGAATTCTTTCTTCTTTTGAGTTGTAGGCAAGCTCTGCAAAGGAAAAGGTGGTTGCACATTATAACTAAGAGAGAATTAGGCATTAATTAATAACAAACAATATGTAGCAATTGTCTGCAGTTAATACCAATTCCTAGACACTAGTGATGTGAAAACTGCTGTGGTAGAGCTGGATAATAACTGATCAAATATTTATGCAGTTTCTTGGTCCAACTTTTTTTTTTGTCTCAAAAGCTGACTTACCCTAAAATGTTATACTGTAATTTTAAACTGACAATGATGAATCATGCTTCCAAGAGTTTGTCTGATATATTTACTTTAGAAATAATAGTAGAAATAATACAAAAATAATAATAAAAAAATAATAATAATACATTTTCTCAAACATGAACGTGAAGATTATTAACAACTTATTATTTTTGCAATATTCATGTGTTTATACTGAAAGCATATTTGCTGAATTGACGACTAAGAAGCTTGATATTTATTTTGGTGATAACATCTTGTGAACAAGTCCTAAACGAAGACGGTAACTAACCCAGCATGTACAACATACAATGCATCAACTAGGCTAACTTCTAAATAGAAGTTCAAACATTTATTAACTGAAGACAAAGTAAACTGTATTACCAGCTACAGCATGAAAAAAATCTTTACAATTCATTTTGTTGTTAAATTCATTGTTACAGTGAACAGGTTTATAATCACACGTTTGTCAAAACATAAACAAAAGTGTGATTAGCTCACATGCTACTGTACATGCATGCTAAGTGCTAACTGCGCTAAAAGCACGTTTGTCCAATTAAAAATCATACATTTCCTCGTTACTGAATGCAATAACTACTTACTGAGGCTAATGACATGTAGGCATTTCATGAAGTATCTCATTTAACAGCAAAAGTATTTGGATCAAGTTGTTTTGCTGCTCTTCACATCTCCCGGCACTGTAATGTGGTCGCCTGAGTTTTACGTCAACTTGCGCGCGGACAAGGAATTCTGGGAAGTGAAGTTTTAGCAGAAGTGGAAATAGAACACCAGCTTTTCTGCTGCAAGAAGTGTTAAGACGTCGGTTGCGTGTATTTGTGATTAACGCAGAAGTTATAAATAGAAGTAGTGGTACTTACAACAGGAGAAGTCTGAGGGGTTTTCCTATAATAAAATACATTAGTGGTCTTTCTTTTACAAATTAAACGGCACATCTTGTGTTCTGTAACTTTTCATCTGCAATATATAGATGTATTACTAGAGGGAGAATTACTCAAGTCTTTAACTAAAGTAAAACTAGCAATATCACAAATTACAAATACTTGATTACAAGTAAAATTAAACATTTATTGTAAATCTTGTATAAGAAAAATCCGTAAGTATGATTAGCAAAATGTTTTGAAAGTAAAAGTCTGTTTTTCTACAATTCTGGAATTTGCGGACGCTTTCATTTCAAAGCGACTTATATCTGAGAGTGGACACAACACAAGCAAGTATCTAGTCAGGAGAAAACAATCTGGATAAGCGCCATAGAACAAGTTCAAGTGTGATAGGGCGTTGATGCCAACAGCGGGCTGTGTGGGAAATAAGAGGACATTTTTTGTTGTTGTTGTTGTTTGTTTTCAGTCTGTCAAGTGCAAAGGTGTTCAGTGAAGAGCTGGGTCTTTAGTCTTTTCTTAAAGACTGAGAGGGAATCAGCAGGTTGAACAGAGTTTGGTAATTCATTCCACCACCGGGAAACCCCAGAGGAGAAGAGTCTAGCTATCGACCTCTGACCCTGTTGTAGTGGTTATATTATATGGCTTTTGTTGGTCGAGCGTAGTGAGCGGGACGGAGTGTAGACCTGTTTTTATGTACTATACTATATAATTATTGCTGACTCATTAATATGGAAGCAGCATTTAGACGGTGAAACTCACTAAGGGGCCAGTCTGTGTCATTTCAGACAGCAGTGTTGCTCCACTGTCACAGATTTTTGTTCAGCGTTTATGTTGTTTTTTGTGACATGTTCAAGATATTTTGGGTAAAACTGGACAATTTCAGATTTCAGATTTTCAGATTTTTGTTCTTTCATTCGCAAAATAGCATCTTACCAAGGAAGCCACTTTAAGACTTCAGTATCTCCAGAAATAGAACTCTCACAGCCATGACATTTGATGAGGACACAGAAAAAACTGTTTCCAGGCAATTCAAATGATTACATGACTATAGTCGAGGCCACATTTTTATTTACTGGCCCTTGAAAATGGAAAACTTCACATCTTGTTCCTTGTCACCTACCTTTAGTCACCACTTACCATCAAACACGCAGGCTGCATCATTCAAGTGTTCCTCGTCTTTTGGTGCCAGTAATTCATGTTCTGGCACCATCTATAGAATAGAATAAAATAGAATAGAATAGAATAGAATAGAACTTTGATCCCCTTGGTGGAAACCTCAGGGAAATTGTTGCGCCAGCAAAAGCAACACCAACACAACATTAGCAATAATAGCAATAATAATAACAACAACAATAATAACAGCAATGGATACAGTAAAAAAATTTGCCAAAAATCCAACATATTCCACACATTCCGGTGATAGAGCATGATGCTCTACCTCACCCCAATGTCCTCACTCCTCACATAAGCTCATATAAGCTCTCACTCATATAAGCGTGACTTTAAGACCAACAGAGACAATGACATGGCATTTGAGAATTTTCTTTCTGCAAAGACAATAAATATAAGTCCACTGATGAATCATGACCTTGCATTGTTTTCTTTTGCTATGTTTAGTGCAGCGTTGATCTCCTGTTTTACTTGTCTTGCTGTTGTAACAATTGTCATAATGTCTTTCAAAAACATAAGATTTGTTGTGATGTGTGTTAAATGATAAGTTTTTTGTTCAGTGTTAATTTTAAGTATTTGTATCTGAATTTTCAGTAAGGCAAAATAATGTTAAACTTCAACATTAAGACAACATAAATGCAACATGTAACTTTTCACATATATTCACAACATATAGACCCCTTACAGATCCACTTAAAGGCCTCAGAAATTGGTGAAATGTCGACCAAGGACTGTATGTTCAGTAGGAAATATGAATACCTCCATATACAGTTGAAACCAGAAGTCTACATACACTGTATAAAAAGTCATATAACCTTTTTTTTTCTCACACATTATACCAGACTAAACTTTTCTTATTTTAGGTCAGTTAGGATTACCAATTTTTTTTTTCTATTTGCTAAACGGCAGAATAATGAGAGAATTTCTTTTAATAAGATTTTTACTACTTTCTTCAAAGTCAGAAGTTTACATACACAAAGATTACGATGCCTTCAAACTATTTAAGAAAGCCCACATGATGAAGTCATGGTTTTGGAAGCTTTTGATAGGTTAATTGACAACATCTGAGTTAATTGGAGGCACACCTGTGGATGTATTTAAAGGCACACCTCAAACACACTGCTTCCTTTTATAGCAACATGGGAAATCTAACGAAATCAGCCAAGATATCAGGAAGAGAATTGTAGACCTCCACAAGTCTGGTTCATCCTTGGGTAAAATTTCCAGATGCCTGAAGGTTCATCTGTTCAAACAATTATATGCAAGTATAGACACCATGTGAATGTCGTGCCATCATAGCGCTCAGGAAGGAGACGAGTTCTGTGTCCCAGAGATGAAGTGTTTTGGTGCGAAATGTGCGTATCAACCCCAAAACAAAAGCAAAAGACCTTGTGAAGATGCTGCTGAAGCTGGCAAGAGAGTGTCATTCTCCACAGTGAAACAAGCCATTACTCCAAAAGCAACATAAAAAAGCCAGATTACAATTTGTAAATGCACACAGGCACAAAGACCTTAATCTTTAGGGACATATCCTGTGGTCTGATGAAACTAAAATTGAACTGTTTGGCCTTAATGCCTTAACAAAAAGGGGGAAGCTTGCAAGTCTAAGAACACCATCCCAAATGTAAAGTACGGGGGTGGCAGCAATATGCTGTGGGGGTGTTTTGCTGCAGGAGGGACTGGTGCACTTCACAAAATAGATGGCATCATGAGGAAAGAACATTATGTTAAAATATTGAGGCAACATTTCAATAGCCACGAAGTTACAGCTTGGGTACAAATGGGTCTTCAGATGGACAATGACCCTAAGCATACCGCCAAATTAGTTACAAAGTGGCTTCCAGACAACAAAGTCAATGTTTTGGAGTGGCCATCACAAAGCCCTGATCTCAATTCTGGAGAAGATTTGTGGGCAGAGCTGAAAAGGCATGTGGAGCAAGGTGGCCAACAAACCTGACTCAGTTACACCAGTTCTGTCAGGAGGAATGGGAAGAATTCCAGCAAACTATTGTGAGAAGCTTGTGGAAAGAAACCCAAAACGTTTGACCCAAGTCATACAGTTTAAAGGCAATGCTACCAAATACTAAGGAAATGTATGTAAACTTTTGAGTTTGAAGAAAGTAATAAAATATTCTCTAAAAACAAATCTCTCTCTCATTATTCTGGTATTTAGCAAATAGAAATAATTTTGATAATCCTAACTGACCTAAAACAGGAAAAGTTTAGTCACATTTAACGTCAGACAGTGAGAAAAAAAGGTTTTATGTCTTTTTATACAGTGTATGGAAACTTCTGGTTTCAACTGTATATACACTTGCAGTATGTTTCTATGGCCCCAATACCATGTTGTTAATTTGTGTTTAGGGTTAAATTTCAAACATTCCAGGTCAGAAAACAAGAATTTCCTCAAATTCAGCTAAAATAGTACACATTAGTTTGGGTCCCAAATAACACATACGTAATCTCTGAACAGAAACTGAGACATTGCAGCAACATTTTTCTTAATTCTATCTGAACTGACACGGACTGACCCTGTGGTAGATACCATTTTATCAAATTTATTTACTCATAAGTGTCCTATTTTACATTTATGACAATTAACTGCATTTTGTACAATTCATTATATCATAGTGGGGTTTTAATGTCCTAATCTGCTTAGTAACTATGAACTACAGCTGCTAGATAAAGATAGCAAAGTCAAAAGTGCAATGTATCCTCTGAATGTTATTGAGTAGAAGTAAGTTGGTACCTGAGAATTGTACAATGCTTAAGTAAGTGCTCTTAGTTACTTTACACTACTATATGGAATGTTAAACATCTAAATACACCTATTCATTGAACTGTTTTTCTGTATTTTCCTGCTATATGTAGAGCAAAATGGAAGACATTGAAAAGAACACATAAGGAGTTACTGTATGTAGTGAGCAAAAAAAATAAGGCAGACGAGGCAAAATATGTTTATTATTCTAGATTCCTAAAAGTAACCGCTGTTTTCCTTGATGACAGATTAGTGCACTGTAGGTATTATCTTTACCAGCTCAATGAGGTCATCACCGGGAGTGGTTTATCTGTTAACATGTGTGCTTATCGGCTTCTAAACGCAATTTAGATCATCAGTTGTAGTATGTGGAGCAAATGGCCTCACTCAGCTACTGTAGTTACTCATATCAGGGCGAGAACTGCTCAACTAAGTAAAGAGAAACAACAGTCAGTAATTATTTTAACATGTGAAGGACAGTCGGGCCAGAAGGTTTCAAGAACTTCTAAAGATCTGCTGCAGATGTTAAGCTAGTTACAGTTAACAGTCCAAGAAATCTCATGTTGAAGTGTCCTTGGGCAAGACGCTGAATCTGAAGTTGTTCCCAATGGCCAGCAGGGACGTTGCATGGCAGCTCAGTCGCCATTGATGTGTGAATGGGTGAGTGGGAAACACTGTGAAGAGCTTTGAGTACCACTAAAGTAGAAAGGCACTATCCAAGTGCAGACCATTTATCATTCGAGTCCACACCAACACCTTTCTGAATTCAAGCAACAGATGCTAAGATCCCCTACAAACCCTCGACCTAACCTCCCCTAACTTACTTTCACCCCTCTAACTCTCCTAGAAAATCCAGCATGATGG